CATATATCAGTTCTTCCTCAGTTCAATCCTTGCCTTTGGTTTGATTTATTCTTTTGAGCTTTGTTCCTTCCCATCTTATCTGAGTTCTGTTGTATGGTTGTGCTCTATAGATTTAATTGCAAACTACAACTGTTTAGTAAGTTAAAGATGTGTTGCTGATTACTGCTTAATGGGCGACGAGGTCTTAAAATATTTTGAGAAGGTCTTTTAAAAAGGTATTGAAATTTACTTCAGGATTCCTGGTAATCTATGATAATAAAAAAGCAACTCAAATTAGAAATGATAATTTCAGTTCTCATGAATGTTTGTCTGTAAAATGCCAAAAGGTTTACATGGATTGTCTAAACAAATACCTGTTTTCTCCCTAGCTGGACAATCGGAGGTATTTAAGGAGGTCCCCAGCAGCCAAGCAAGTGAACAGACAGTTTGAAATGATCTGACAGCAGTTTCTCACGCACAGTATGTATTGTCCAAATTGAATGTATCCTAGTTACAAAGTTTAATGTCTTTGACCTAAGTCCAAATATCGCTGATCGTCTTCATAAGCTGCTCCTGTGCTTCACAATTGTGGAACAGAGTCCAGCTCCCAATACACATTCATTGCATTGAGAAGAAGGCCTCAAAATTACTCTTATTGCACATAATAGGCAATAAGTAGATTCTGCTAGTATATGTTAGAAAAACCTATGTAATTATGTCAAATTTTAACCACCATCCCACGGGGATACGTTGCTTTTTCACTGCGGTGAAAAAAAAATCCATACCATACATCCACAATGTTGACTTGCCTTAAAACAAATGTAGACATCCTTGTTTATCTTCTTAATGTTGAGTTGACTGTGGTCTACCACACAGCTTAATCCACCAGAGACATTTAGCTCTGTTTAGATGTGGTTTAGGTAATGGGATGTTGGGGATGAAATATACCCCAATGCCTAGCCTCTCAGGACACCTCGTATCAGAGTTGTATTACCCCTGCACATTTTGATGGCTTCTGAGACGAAACCAAGTCCATCTGTCTCCAAAAGTTGTGTATAGCGCCTCGTATCTTGAGAAATTGCTTTGACACTTAGCTGCTATGCTAACGGCTACTATGAGAGCACGGTCAGACTGAATAATGCAGTGAAATGAAATGGCAATTCTGAGTATCAGGCTAGCAATGCATTGAGTTGAGTATGTGCAGTCAGCTCACACTGCATACTCAAAAATTCTTGATAATTTAGTATACGTGGGCATTTCTTGCACACATAATCCACATACTATGCAGCTGAAACACTACATACTCAATCTGACATACTTAGCATGAATAGTACATTAGTAATACAGTATGATGGACAGCATGACAGCTCCTCAAGTAAAGCCAAAACATCTCAATTGCCCCCTGGTGGCTGGCTGTAGTATAGGATATAAAGTCCACCCTCTCCATGTTGACAAGTGGAACATGGGCCAAACTCAAAAAAACTCCAAGTACACATAATTTATGTATTTTTTTGTAGGTAGGTAGTTCTTATGCTGATGTTACTTATAGATGAAAGATGTTTCTATTTCCAGTTTTGCCTTGCAATTAATGCATATGGCGGTCTAGTCAAAGTAACTTACTTGTAGAGCACAGGAGCAGCTGCTGAAGAAGCTGCTCAATATTTTGGACTTGCAGTATGGACAGTACAACAAAAAAGTTATGAATATCACTTTAAAGTATAAAACTGGTGTAGTGTTTACTTATTGTAAACATGGCCTGTGAAAAGAGCAAAATCTGCAGTGCTTTTCTGTTAATAACTATGGTCCATCTATCCACTGCCAGAAATATGTATTTCATATCATGTAACTATTTGAACTCCATGGTATTCAAAAATAAAACAAGTCACAGATTTGAATTTTTTCTTTGGTCTGCACAGCTTTTTTTAATCAATATTTTTCAAGACAACATACTGATGATTACTGTATGATTATACTGCGAGTGTCATGTTTTGAAAAAGTTTATCGTAAATTGTTGCTCATGCCCATGCAGTAGAATAGGAGGGGGCTTTCCAGTGTTACTGGATGGGCGGGGCAGGGGGCTATCTGGTTTCTGCTATTTGGGATTGTGACTGAAAACATGTCATTTGGGCCCAGGGTTTAAAATATTGAAATATTCCAACTTTTTTTTTTTTTTTTATATAAAAACAATATTTTAGAAGTCAAACACTATATTGAACAATTATATAAAGTAACTGCTGAATACTTTACATTTACAGAAATTGCCTTAGCTGTTTTAATGTGTAATGACTTAGTATCCTTGTTTTTCTGTCAAATGAAAGTTTTTAACAATATTTGTTCAGATAACTAAAATGATTGTTTAATACCCTAAATTTACAGGTATTATCTTTAAATATACATATTAATGTATTTTGATGTACAGTGTTTAATTTTCCATTGTCCAATTCTCTAAAATAACTAATACTGTAAATGTGCAGAAATTCCTATTTGATTAAAAGGTACATATTTTGTTTATACATTGTCAGTTTTTTTACTTGGGGAAACCACAATTATGCAGCAAATCAGTGTAGATGGACAAGACGGTTTCATGAAATGACTACTAAATACCCTTAATTTACAGGGATTGGCCTTACATGTAGCTATTTTTGATGTATTTGTAATGTATTTAGCTTGTTTTTCCACTGTCCAATGGTTGTTTTTTAATATACTAATTCTCTAAAATGACAGATTAATACTGTAAATTTGCAGATATTTATCTTAAGTTTTATGAACCTACTTCATTTTTATATGTTATAACTTTGTTATTGTGCATGGAAAAAACAGTATTTTAACATGAAATTACTGTAGATAGACTTGGCTGTTTCCTAAAATACATAATGTATACCGTGAAATTACAGAGATTAATGTGAAAGGTATTTGATTTTAATGTTTTTTGACATAATGTATGTTATTTTACAGTATAATGGGCATTTATCAACTATAATATACTGTATTTTAATTAATTTGACTGTAAAAATATACTCTGTATTTTTACAGTTATTGTACGTAATTCTGTGATACAGTTATTTACTGTCATTTTACGGTATCCGTTTGGAAACTTTGCTGCCAGTTATTTTACCTGGTTTTTTTTAACAGTGTGGACAGGTAAGCGTGGGGGGGGGAGGGGTGGGGGAGACGACATGCAGCAAAGGGCCACAGGCTGGATTTGAGCCCGGGCCGCTGCGGCAACAGCCTTGTATATGGGGCGCCTGCTCTACCACTAAGCCACCGACGCCCCAATGACCTATAATTTTAAAACAGAAAATCTGGAAACATTCAAATCAATATCCAAAAATTCACCATGATCCGAGACTTAAGTTACGTGCAGGTCACTGATATGACATTAGTAAACAGTACTTTTTGCTGTTTAGTTGGATGGTGATAATACAACTCTGAATATATCACATAGAACGCTTTCAAGTGATCCCAGACTTTTTCTGCTGCTGAAGTAAAAGGTGGACCAAAATGTGGCATTTACAAAAACTGGAGCCGATTAACAGTGTGGGGATTATTTTACTAATAAAATATTTTCTGTTTTATCCTAGTTCTCATCACGTAGGTGTCTCATTATTTTGAGCTGGTAGCAGCACTATCACTGTGGACCAAAGTAAACTTTGCATTACTTAAAATAGTGCTAAAATCATGTGTTAAGTGTTGTAAACAATCTCTCCATTTATTTATTTGTGTGGGGGCGGCAGTAGCTCAGTCCATAGGGACCTGGGTTGGGAACCGGAGGGCCGCCTGTTCAAGTCCCCGTCCGGACCAAATGCAGAGCATGGACTGGTGGCTGGAGAGGTGCCAGTTCACCTCCTGGGCACTGCTTGAGCAAGGCACTGAACCCCCCAACTGCTCAGGGCGCCTGACCAAGGCAGCCCCCTCACTCTGACATCTCTCCACTTTGTGCAAGTGTAGGTCCTGTTTGTGCATGTGTGTATATTTCCGACCTGTGTGTTAATGACAACGGAGTGAAAAAACTGAATTTCCCCTCAGGGGGATTAATAAAATATATATAAAAATTAAGGTCTGTAGTAAAATGCAGTGGACAAAGAGCCCTGGGGTAATTAGGTTAAGTGATTCTACTGACCTATATCCGAAGGTTCCTCTTTTGTTCCCTGAGACTCCGGACTTTTGTTCATACATACTTTTTCATAAGTATTCTGATTGGTCAGAGGTCGGAGTGTTGACAGAAACGATACCCTTAAGTTAACCTGCTCAGAAGCAGGTTTGCTGCTCAGCATACGTTGCTTTGGTGATTAAACCCGGTAAAAGGAGAATAAGCTTCATAGTACTGAAAACCCAGGGTAAACCCCGAAGTTACTTCGCGAACTTCAAATCCTGCTTCGAAGTAACGTTACAGTCCACATGTGAAACGCACAGTGAAATCCTTTTGGGTTTGTTTGTTTTTTTTTTTTTTTGGTATTTTCACAGATAGAATAAAGGCTTTCATACTAGAAAATGGGTTTCAGACAGCGCTGAGTCGTTACCTGATAGCCCCAACATGCGTTCACAGCAGTAAGATGTGCAAAACGTGGAGGATCAATCGCTCAGCAATATACATTACTTCCCCCAGCTCCCCTAATTTAGGGAGCTACGAATCCGAAGCCAACTTCACGCAGGCAGGTGAGGTTAGCGTTTTAATGACAAAATACAGACTAAAATGCTATTGAAACTGTCAGTCAATTTATGTTCTTTTGCGTTTCATTCTTTCAGTAAGCTACTGTTGTTAACGTAATTAGACTTTGTTAAACAGTGACATGTGATGACTAAAGCGCTCGAGCGACCTGAAGGTGTTCTTTGGTATTTTCCGGCTGCTACATTAACGTTCCTTCGGTCAAGGACGCTCCGCTGGCATAAACAGGTCAATGTTAGCTGAGGTGCTACAAGTAACAGGGCCTTACGTTTACAGCCAGCCTAACTACAGCATTTCCATGCAATTAAACAATAAAGACAAACCCAAGCACATTCATGAACACGCCCTGTCTTACCAGGCGTCTGCAGATCTGAGCACGCATGGTTAAAAGTCCATTGGAAGACATCTTGAGCCAGGAGATGACGCATACAATTAACACTGCCTTAACCTTCTTGTTGTTCCGTCCCTTCTTCTTCTTCTTCTTCTTCTTCTTCTTCTTCTTCTTCTGTTTGATGTTTTTTGGCGGGTGGCAACCAACGTTAAGGTGCATTACCGCCACCTACTGTGTTGGAGTGTGGACAAGCGTTAACCATCTACCCCAAATCAGGAAACAATACAATAAAAAAAATAATACATAAAATAAAATAAAATTAAAAAAACATAAAAAACAAAACAAAACAAAACAAAACAAAACAAATAAGTATATAAATATCTACTAAATCCTTCCAATTAGCTCAGTATCACTTAAAAACTTGAGTAGACTTCCTACACCAGCTGTTAATACAGTCTTAAGTGACAGCTCTTCCTGTGCAGTCCTGACTTCTCTCTTAATATGTTGGGAGCGTAGGCCTATCTATGTTCCCCAGGTTCTATGTTCCCCATTTAACCCTGCAAAAAAGGTTCTATGTTCCCCGCTTATCCAAAAAAGGCAGGAAACATAGCAGTTGCATTAATATGTTGTTTTAACATTTCTAAACACACACAACGGAACATAATGGGGAGAAATTACAATCAGAAACTTACCCTTTGGGTGATCTATGGTGTGCAATCTGGGCAATTATATCCTTTACAGAAGGTTTTTTAATCCAGCCGTTAAATGCAGTGTTTCAGTGAGTGCAGATTTCTTCGAGCAGCCAAAGACCAACTGGTAAGAAAAGAATAATTATCATGGCCGAAATAAAGATAAATAAGCTGTTAAGTGCAGCGTTTTTTCGGTAACTCTGTTCAGTAAATCCACCATGATTATTTATTAGTTTTGTGATAAAAATAAATGCGTCTATGTTGTTGATCATGGATGTTGATATCACCAGAGATATTGGATGAAGCGAGATACCCAACTCAACTCACTTCCTGATTCAGTGACGTCAGCGCCACGCCCCCGTAGAAGACTTGAGGCAGCTCTGAATGTATTGTCGTCAATGAGGAAAATGAATGTGATCACAATTTATGGTCAATTCTTTAGCCCTGTAGTCACTAAAGTAAATATTGGGTTCATTTTCCACAAGGGTTGAGGGAGAACAGGCTCTGATTGGAGGGAGAGCTAACCACGCCCACTTAGGAGACAGGAAGAGTAACCGTTTTTTTAACATTGGATAAGCCTACAGTTGGGTATCTCCCTTCATCCAGTATCTCTGATATCACCTGTTCAGTTCGGTCCTTCGACCAATCAGATACTCAGATTTCTTCCTCTCTTGTTTTTATGACGGTAGTGTCAGGAGCAGCCAAAGACCACCTGGGGCCTGTATCACGAAGCGAGATCAACCTTTCCTGGGTTACCCAGACCTATCCTGGGTTGACTAACCTTAACAGTGGCAATCAGGATAATCGGTATCACGACGCTGGATATCAACTCGGTAACTCAACCCAGGGTTGCTTTATCAAGAGCCGTGAACGCGCACACAGCGGACCAATCACAATCATGAGAGAAGCGCAGCGTCACTGAGCGTCCTCACAGAGCGCCGTATGTGAGGAAAAAAAAAAGTATTTCTCGTGAGGATCAGATATTAATTCTACTAAAATATGAGGAGGAGAAAAGCAATATTACAGAAAAGGCCAACACCGTGGCAGCTGCAGGAGGAGGAAACATGCGTGGCAACGCATAACGGGATGAATAATGTTTAGTTTTAGTTTAGATTAGTTTATTTGCACACAATGTTAAAAACAGACAGTATAAAATTTACAAGATTAAAAAAGAAAAGTGCTGGAGAGGTTAGAAGCCACTAAAAGCTTATCAAAGAAATTCCCCTGTCAAAACATCAATGAAATCACATAATAGAGAAGGAAAAAAACGGGTGAGGAAAGAAGAAATAGAGGAGGAGAGAGGGAAAAATCAAGACAAAACAAGATAGCAAATAAAATGATGTGTAGGTTAAATTACTCATCACTGGTTCAAGAAGCTACAGTACCTGTACCTGTACATCTGACACTGATCACACCCTTGAATCCCATGAAATCAATGCTGCGCAGATGAATTGAGTGTATTACAATTATCGTCTAACATCATTGCATCTGATAAATTGGTCTTCTTTGTCATAACGTTATATATGCTACAATAAAGCTTAAAGCTGAAGCCACAATTAAATCATAAACACCAAATTGATAGTCTGAATAAAATCATCGTGATATTGAGCTGTGTTAGAAATTAACAGCTGCACAAAAATATAACTAGTATCCCTCTTTAAAAAACAAAAAGGAAAATCCCTCAAACACCATGAAGTGTAGACATGATAGGCTACTTTCCACATTTCCAGCAGCAAAGCTGTCAATTAGGCCCATTATCTTTAATTAATTTGATTGATTTTGATTTGAAAGTTTATTTTGAACATTAAAAAAGAAAAAGCAACAACAACAGACAATGAAAAGACGTGAAAGAAGTCGAAATGTCATAAGAAAGAAAATGATAATTTGCGGACACTTAATAGCACCATTAATTAGTGCCAACATTTTGTTTTGTTGGAGGAAATGATCCCTGTTAAAGATAATGGGCCTAATTGACAGCTTTGCTGCTGGAAATGTGGAAAGTAGCCTATTGTTGTATACAATGGAGTTCTACTGGAGCCACACACCACCAGGAAACGTTTTCAATTAAATCAACAAATGTTTATTTTTCAAAAGTTGAGTTTCAAAGTTGAGTTTGCCATGGTTCTAGACAAGAACAGAAAATAGCATTAAGTAATATCATCAATATCAACAAATATCAATATCACTTAATATCATCAAGTATCAAAGATATTAAATTTCATGTCAACTAAGGTCATATCAGAATAAATGAATAAAATAACAAATAAACTCTTGAAGCAAATAAATCATCACATTGCAGCTTTCATTACTTACATTGATGTGGTTTCAACAGACACATGGCATGGCATTTGTTTGGAACCAAGGACAAAGAGTGAGTGTCAATTTGGACAGCCCTTATATAGGAGGCGTCCCAGGAAGTGGGCGTAGTCCCACTAAGACTGGTGCTGCAGATTGAAATGTTCAGTGTCTCCTTCTGGAGAGGAGGATTAGTGTAGGGAATGAATGGATTTTAGTGCAGGGAATGAATGGATTTCTGACAGCCGCCCCCGGATTTGTGCAGCAAATACGTTTCAGTTAGGTGTCCATTTCAGGGAGAGGGATTAACCTGGAGACAGGACGTAGGTATTTGTGGCCTTTGATTGCCACTGTGGCACTGCGAACATTACCATCCTTCCCAGGGTGAGTTTTGGTTATTCTTCCAACAGGCCAGGATGCTCGAGGATATCGTAGATCAATGACCATCACCACCTGACCGGTGTCCAGGTTCTCCTGGTCAGTTCCCCATTTTTGCCTGGTTTGAAGGTTGGGGAGATAGTGGCGAAGGAAGGCTCTCCAGAATTGATCAGCCAAGATCTGGCCATGACGCCATTTACGTCTGCTGAGGAGGTCACTTTCACAGTAGATGGCCTGAGGAAGGGAAGCATCCGGCCGCCCCATGAGCAACACATTTGGTGTGACCGGGTCCGGGTCAGCGAGGTCAGAGGAGACATATCCCAGAGGTTTTGAATTCAAGATGCCTTCCACCTCCACTAAGACTGTGTGCAGGACTGTTTCTGATGTTGTTTGGCTTCCTACAGCTGCGTTGAGGGCCATCTTGATGGATTTAATTTCCCGTTCCCAGCTCCCACCAAAATGCGGGGCAAATGGAGGATTGAACCTGAAGTTTACCTGTGAGTGAGCTAGTTGCTCCTGCACATCAGGTGCCATGGCCTGGAAAGCACTTTGTAGCTCTGCCTCTCCTGCTTTGAAATTGGTCCCACAGTCAGAAAAGAGTTCGAAGGGTTTTCCTCTACGTGAGACAAATCTCCTGAAGGCCATGAGAAATGTGTGTGCATCCATATGGTCAAGCAGCTCAATATGAATGCAGCGTGTTGTTAGGCATTTAAAGAGAATACCCCACCTTTTCTCCGTGCGTCGGCCAATTTTCACTGTGAAAGGCCCAAAGCAATCCATGCCTGTGGACCAAAAGGGGGAATTGTAAAGCCTGAGACAGGCCGGAGGAAGGTCTGCCATTTTGGGAATGATGGGATTGGCTCTCCATCTCCGGCAGTCTTGACACTGGTATTGATGTTGCCGTATTGCTTGGCGGCCGTGCAGGATCCAATACCTGCGTCTCATTTCTGCCAGGACACGCTCAGGGCCTGGGTGGAGGAGTTTCTCATCATAGTGTTTGATAAGGAGTTTGGTTATGGGATGGTTTGGTTCTAGTATGATTGGATGGATATTGTCATGTTGAAGACTCTCTGCTCTCCGGAGCCGACCTCCCACTCTGATGAGCCCAAGATTAGAATCATATTCGGGAGACAAGGGGAGCAGTTTGCTGCTCTTTGATATGAGTTTGTCATCTTTAAGGGCATTGAACTCCTCAGGGAAACTCTCAGATTGAGCCCTTTGCAGAAAATGCCTTTCAGCGTTTATGAAGCCTTGTGCGTTTGGACTTTGATCTGCCACCCCATCAAACAGAGTCGCGGTCTCCTTCATCAGTTCCTCCCAGCTGCCATGCTTTCTCAGGTCAGGGCTGTTTGTCTCACCTGACATCACTGTTCCACAGAACATTGATTTCTGGAGCTCCTGTTGTAGAATGGTGAGTTCAGAGTTGACAAGGTTGGCCAACTGGGCACCAGACAGGGCTGCACATAGCTCAAGGCGAGGGATGGATAGTTGGCGCTTGGGGGCTATGCGCGACCTGGCCATGATGAAGCTGACATGGGTGTGGCCATGTTTGTCTGTGTTCTGAAGGTAGGCAACGGCCCCATACACACGCTCTGAGGCGTCACAGAATACATGCAGATGAAACTCTGCAGTGGCTGTATCAATAAAGGGGGGCAAATAACAGCGAGGGAAGAGAATGTCAGGGAGATTCCGGAGCTCCATTTCCCAGGTTTGTCATTCCTCCAACAAGTCGTCATTTTTGATGATGTTGTCCCATCCTCTCTCCTGTTTCCATAGGTCCTGCACTAAGATCTTTGCACGGGTTGTGAATGGGGTCAGAAAGCCTAGAGGATCATATTGGCTGGCCAGCACTTTGTAGATGTTCCTCATTGTAGGCTGATGGTAGGGGACT